GTCCCGTGACCAATATCGTAATTTTATTTTAAGCATACAAGACTGGTTAATCGAGACTACGGAAAATACATTTCGTTCAGTCAAATTTTTTCTGCGTATTTAGAGCTAGCAATAACGTAACTTCTAAACTCGCTAAGGCGGCAACCATCCACAAGGTTTTACGGTTAAATAAAAGTAACTTTCACAGTCTTGCAGTGTCAGTACGTTGCCGGGAAAGTGAGTTTAAAAGATAGAAAAAGGACGAAACTACATGAGTTGACTTTGAACCGAGGACCGTTACAATATATACGTAATTGGTTACAATCTACTAAATTATAAATTAAATCGCCGAGTTTTAGCCAGAATTTTGACCAAGTGCGTAACTACGTATTAAAATGTTTGAAATAATATTTGGCAACTAGAAATTGACACAAACTGGCCGCGACGCATATAATAATGTAATACGAATGTATATAAACTGATTTACATTCCGTTTTTACTCTAATTTCAAATTAGTTATGTTCGGCGAAATACGCCAGAAGTCTCAGTCGAATAGCAATCTCTAGCGTCTGGTTATTCCAGTCTACACCGATAATATTTATTGCGCATGCTCTCCAGATAAGAATACGGCGTCACCGTTTGACATGACCCGTGGAATATATCTAGAGTCGATCTTCGAGTCCCTTGATACAAATCAGAAGCCCATCTTTTCCCCGTAAGATCACAACATCAATGTTGATTTAAATTGACAAATAATTCGCGTTTTCAATGTCGAATACTCTATCATATGATAGTCTCGAAATGACCTAGTTTGGGTCGAGTGGACGTTAAACTGCAAATCTATCATATGATAGTCTCGAAATAAAATAGTTTGTCTCGAGTGGACGTTAACTCTCTCTCTCTCTCTCTTTCTCTCTCTCTCTCTCTCGCTCTCGCTCTCCCAACTCTCATATTAATGAATGACTGTAATTAGTAGATAATTGAACTGTCTTCTCTAATGTTCCTCCCCATCTTACACTTATTTATTTTCCTTGTTTTGTAAAATTAGAATATTACAAGTCACTTGTTATATGGAAATTGAATGCTAATGATATCCTATTTCAGCTTTAAGTTGCTAGATATTGAAACAAACGCCCATGAATCTAAACCAAGTGTAACAATTTCATTAATACTATTGAGAATCCAACCAAGTGTAACAATTTCATTAATACTCTTGAAAAACAATCACTGAACATATTCTGTAAATGTCACAAGGCCCAATATTTACAAGATTTCGTTATAATGTCACTTTAATGTGGGCGGGAGGGGGCGGGGGCTAAATATTGTTGACCAGATAAGCTTGTTCCCTTTTTAATCTGAATAAATATTTAAGCATCACACCACCAATGATTGGGGCATAAAGTGTATTAACAAGGGACATAATACTGTGGAGTGGAAGTTGCGTCAGAAAATGAACCGAACTATTAAAATAGCATTATGATCGAATTATAATTGGGTCTCTTAGAATGTTAAGTTTTCGTTATCAGGGGACATAACTCAGAAAGTTATCTTCATCTTACTAAGCTTAACTTTCAAGAATAATAAATGCTAGGGTGGCGACACTTTAAAATGGGGATATACAGGGAAAGCATATTTCTTATACATATGTAACTGGCGCTCGAAAACTAAATGATACATAGCTTCTCTTAGTTCCGAATATTTCTTATATACTAGTATGCATTTACAACCAATGTTCTAGTGATCAGATTAAAAGTACAATATATGTAATTCGCTCCTTTAATAGAAACCAATAATGGTCATTACCGATCTACTAGCAAAAGAACGAACGGAAAGATTTTAAGCATCTTGTAATAATGTCATCTCAATTCAAATAAAACTATAATTAACGGCCTACTTTTCCGCGCTAGCCGTGCTAATCAAGACGGGATATGCCTTGAATTGTGCTTACACTTCATCAAATGCCAAGGATCGAAATCGATCAGCAAAATCAAATACGGTCTAATTCATACCAGGTCGTTCTGAGTTTCATGATGTTTTTTTAGAATTTCATACACAGATTCTATTACTAAAACACAATAATCTAAAACTTAATTAAAGATACATTATGGGAGATTAGATAACGAGTTGGCAGTTCTCACTATAATAGTTAAAAACTAGATAATGTAAAGACAATTTGCTGAAAATTTCAGTCAAATTGATCCACTATGAACCGAGAAATAAGCGACCAAAAGTTCCGCGTAGTCTCGGTCATCATTACTAAAGTCGGTACGACAAAAATCATAGTCTCGATTATCCTTTTAATCGTTAAATCGAGAAGGAAAGTTATGCAGCAAATTAGATAATAATCCAACAATTATTGCAGGCTAGCGTTGACATCGAGAGTTGATTATGGTCTGGATATCTTAATTAATGTCTAATTAATAGTTTATATAACATTTCAGGCCTAAAGAAAGCCCTGCAACGGGCAGATTTAGCTCTTGCATAATGCATGTTTAAAGATAGATTATGTAAGATTTTAGTTAAAGAGCTGACCGTTCTTGCTATAATAGTTCAAAAATAGATAATGTAAAATTAATATATTGAAAATTTTGTTTAAATTGCTTTATTCGGAGCGATGTTATCAATGTGTGTAGTTTTGACAAGATGTGTGCATTGATTGTTTATTATCGTAACCACCGTCATGGTCGAGCAGTTCTAATCTACTTAAAATCGGAGCCATCTGATTACATAGAGAGTTGATTAAGACCTTTTCATGTTAATAAATGTCTAATTAATAATTTATATAACAAAGAAAGGCCTACAATTGGCAGATTTAGCGCTTGAATAATGCCTCTTTAATAAGTATTCCATATCTCATATCACTTATCAAGATCGCCTGCTGCCAAACAGTTTAGCTTTGTCGATACACGATAAGTGTATTTTAGGCTTAAATTCGGATAGATACGTCGTAAACGGTCGGAAATTCATTTTTGGAAACACAAGCGATTCAGTTGTCGACTAGTATATAATATGTCAGGGTCGGAATTTATGTAAGAAAGATGTTGTAAACCAATTGATGTATTTGTAGTTCGTTTCTGTTTGCGACTCCCGTCAGTTCAGTTCAGTTCAGGAATGGGGTTTAACGTCCACTCTAGGCAAACTAGGTCATTTTGGGACTAACATATGGTTTAATTTTAGTTCAGTAATTCGCTTGCGCGCAGGAGTCTGTAGCAGTGGGAAGAAACCGGAGGACCCGGAGAAACCCCACGAGATTGGACAGGCGACCGGGGAATCGAAAGCACGCCAGCTGACTCAATGACAAAACCTTATGATATAATGCCCACGCGCTATCCATTCGACCATCCACCCCCCCCACCCTCATAACAGTTCAGATTCAAAAGTCGACATGACCGAGACCCGGTTTGTAGTTTGCGTTTTCGAAGTTAGACCAAGTACTCTCCAAATTAAAATGTACAGGAAGAAAGTCTGAACACATCATTTGGGATCTGGTATTCCGCGAATTTACACATACATCCATCGATGCCATATCAAACTGTATCCGAGTCTGTTTGAAGAGCCAGTTTGTTGACGACACAATTGTGGAATTGTTTCATCTTCTTTGACGATGGTGATATATAATGTTGATGGTGATATATAATTTTAAAAATAGAAGTATAAAAAGAGGCAATGGGGAGAAGAAGTAGACGATAGGAAGAGAACTCCCAAGTACATGTATATTAGTGTTATAAAACACGATCTTGTTTTGTGACACCTACATGTGACGAGAATTCAGACAAAAACAGCGATGATTTAAAAATCGGTTTCCATGTAGAGAGAAAGAGAGAGAGTCTTTAGTAGTGGTAGAAAACCCGAGGACTCGGCGAAAACCCACGAGGTTGGGCAGGAGAGGGGAGGACACAAGCTAAGTCCATTCGGGATTTACATTATGGTACAATAATTATTGGGCGACCCTCTCCCTTGTCACACACAGACTTACGATCGAATTCCCACCAATTGACTTATTGACAGATTTTATGATCTACGAAATGAATAGTACTGCGGGGAAAATAGACTGTCTTTTTAAAATGAAAGCAACATGGGTTTGTTTATCGCCAGAATTGAACGCATTCTTGTTTAATGATAAAATGACATACAGTCTGAATTTTCAACCAGCATATAGTATCTAAATGTGTTATGAATATAAAAACGACATGAATCTGAATTTAAAATGTTCTGAAATGTGTCTATGCTATTTTTATTTAATACATTACAAAACAAGTGTTTAAATCACATCAAATATCTAACAACCTCTCAGCCAATTCTAGATGTTTCCAATATGTCCCACATACCAAGAAAAGAACATCAGACGGAGCAATTCTGGAATTTGTTGTCCAAAAGAATTCGCCTCAATTTTGGGAGGAACTTATTGTTTTTTTTATAATAGGTTGGCCCGCCTTTCAGCGCTGGTAACGATGAGCAAAACACTATTGATGTGGTTCCTAAGTAAGTCTTCACTGTAGTTCTAATATCTTTAAATCATTTCTCCACAAAAGTTTTTAAGCAGCCTGTTTTTCTTTTAAATTATTGAAGTATTTAATAATTAACACTTTAATTAAAGCCAATGATCGCCATTTAAGGGATTTTGTATCCCTTATTGTACAGTACAATGCCTCGGTATCGGTGACTTACACATATTTAGACTACATTGTGCATCTTCAAATATTTGTATTTCTTGTATTTCGTAATATTAAATACTGGTTGATTTATTATAATATATTCGTCGAACAACAAAATATTTATTATCCACTAGACAACCGCCTCGTTCTTTATCACTCGTCGTTTCAACCAATGTCACTCATTATAAGTTTTAAATTAAAGACCGCTACTTACGTTCACGCGTCCCCTTTTATGTGTTACATGTTCACATTCAATTTACTTTCTAGGTCAATGTCCCAATTTAATAGTGTATTTAAAGTAACACTACTTGTCGTAGCGAAACCGGTTTAAAGGGATTTATTGTGTAGCATCCGGGCCGTTGACATTGATCACGCGAGGTCGGCCTCCGAGCGTCACAAACCTCAACAGATACTCTAAATGTGCTCAATTGTCATGACCCATTTTAATTGCATTGATAATCTAAAAAAATTATCCATGTAGCATACCAGGAAAATTGGATGCCATTCCGATCGATAACATGCTACATCCTGGCTGGTAGTTACAAAGGTCGCATCTCATGAATGATAAAACTTGCCATATATGGAGAATATCGATTGTCGTCTGCATAGATTGGGACGCGCGGAGAAGAGATCGTTTTGGTGAGAGAACTGGTAAGACAAGTTTTGCAGACGATATATGGATTGAATGAGAAATGACAGAAAATAGCAACACATGGTATTGAGAAAATATCGATAAAACGTACCGGTGAGTTTATTCATCTATCTTCTTGTTCATTGTTTTACCTGCAAATATCGGCGTGACGGCTATTTCTTTCTATGAACACTTTTCGTTGTTAAACAATATGTCGGCGAAGTGGTATGAATAACTATACAGATCTCTTCCTCTCCTCGGCTAAACGATTTCTTCTTGTGTCCATAACGGCTGGTTCAAGATTCTGGGGTTTAAACTAAGGATTTGGTTCATTGGTGTAGAACAATACTGACCAAACATAAGATTTTTGTTCGTTACACGTTTTCACTTTTCCCACTAAATATCGATTACAGAGATAGTGGTATTTAACGTTCTGGGCTTTTAACTCTTGTTAATTTCTCGTATTACAAGCTTTACCCATGCTTCTCCTTCTAATATCGTCTTGATAATTGATTTTCTATCACTTTATATACATTATTATAAATTATACGTGTGGTCATACAGTAACACCAGAGTATGAAATAAGGTTTATTACACCCAATGGCATTTAAATAGGCTATTATATTGTGTAAGTTAGTGTAAGTAAGTCATATATTTAAAATAAATATAATATTGAGGAAAATCAAAATATTGAACACAAACATTTTTCTGTACAAAAAAATGCGTTAAAATGATTTAAGATGGGCGGGAACAATGGTCCAATAGTGGCTGTCACTGTATTCGATATAATCTTAAAAGGTTTTTTGACATTTATTACATCCACTTTAGAAAATGCAGGCAAGGGAGACAATTCAAATCTACACGCGTAATCATTCCGTTAAAATATCAGACCATACGGTTATTGGTGACGTAGGGAAAATTATAAAGTATAATGGTCCCTGAAACCCACGCATGCAGTCTGTCTAGCGATAGAAATGTTCTATTAGTTATTTGCCATTTATATTTGGTAATTATATAATGGACCCGTCTACATAATTTAGATGTATACTCTCCTATACACTATGTTAAAAAAAACTCACATGCTGTATATATAGAAGTATGTTTCATTACAAAGAACTCGGTATGTTTGCCGAGTAATTTATTTTTACAACTGGTATGCAAAATTTCACATCAGCGACAGCTGATGAATAGATTTATATCTAAAAATACTTATATATGAATATATCAGTAAAATGTTTCACGCGTATATTCATTTGTACCGAGAGGTAACAATCAATAAATCCCCCCTTAAACTTTGAACTATTTTTCTGGCTTGTCAGCAGTTACAAAGTGACGTTTTTTTGTCGGACACGCTGCAATAATACGTGTTGCTTTATTCTTTGACAATACGGTTTGTGCTATTGTTTTTTTCTTTTTATAAAACATTTCAAATGAGTTTGAATACACGTTACAATATAAATTATTAGTTTTTGTTTCTTGAGAAGTGGACTAAGGTGTTCTGATAAGATTATACTTAAGCATAGCCTCATGCAAGACTCCTGGTCTAATAAGTTGAACACATATTTCAGAAGCTAATGTGCACACGGTAACCCTCGCGGCGTAAGATATATACTATTCAAAAAAAGTAGGGGATATTTGATTTTGGGGGCATAATACTAAAATATGCAAATGACTACGAAAAAAGTCACTATAGAACCTAACAGAAGAAACATTTCCAGTTACATGTGACGCCCAAACGCACCAATAGCTACCGCATGGAATGCAGGTGATGCTTGGGATCATCATGGGGATCCAACCCAAGATTTGCACGACTCTGACTTTGAATGTTACAGTCATTGTGGCATTGAATTCCAGGGTGGAAACATCAGTTTAATTGTTTTAGTGACCAGAAAACAAATTTTGATATGCGTCGGCGTACCCAAAATGAATGGTTACGTGCCCTTGGCATGCTACAGATCGGCACAACACAGGCGGTTGTGGCGCGGACGATGAATGTTTCTCAGTCTGTCATAAGCAGACTATGGTCCAGATACCGTGATACACAATCTGTACAGGACAGACCACGCTCAGGTCGACCAAGGGCGACAACTCAAGCCCAGGATCGATTTATCCGTACCTTGGCCTTGAGAAATCGTGTCATCACAGCAAATCAGATCAGCGCTCGTCTTCAAACAGACACTGGTGTGAGAGTGAGTGGCCAGACGATTCGGAATCGACTGCATAGGGGTCACCTTCGCGCCCGACGTCCTCGCGTGATCCCTTGTTTGAGAGATCATCACATTCAGGCAAGACGTCGTTGGTGTAGGGATCGTCAACACTGGGATAATCGACGCTGGAGCAATGTGATGTTTTCAGATGAGTCAAGGTTCACTGTTGATTTTTTGGACAGACGTAGGAGGGTGTGGCGTCGTCGAAACGAGCGCTTCCAAGACGTTAACGTCATCAGACATGATCGATTTGGGGGTGGTTCTGTTATGGTGTGGGTAGGCATCACTGTTGCTGGAAGAACGGCTTTACATGTTGTTGCAGGGCGTGTTACAGGCCAGTACTACCGGGACAACATCTTGGCAGTCCGTGTTGTGCCGTTCGCACGACGTCATGGCCGCCGTTTCATCTTCCAGGATGACAACGCAAGATGTCACATGGCCAGGATCGTTACAGGTTACCTCCAACAACACAACATCACCACATTACCTTGGCCAGCACTGAGTCCCGACCTCTCCCCCATCGAGCATGTCTGGGACATGCTTGGACAGAGGTTACGTCAACGTCAACAACGTCCTGCCAAAGTCCAAGAACTTGCTGCTGCGTTGCAACAGGAATGGGACAATCTGGACCAAAATGACCTTAGACGTCTCATTAGGAGTATGCCACGTCGGATCAATGCTTGTTTGGCAAACAGAGGAGGATTTACCCGTTACTGACTTGGTTGTGATGCTGTGGTAACTTTGCTGTTTGACCCCGGGTATCATTTTACCCTTATAATGGTCAGTCTGTGCCTTACTTAGTCTAACGATCATTTGGAATAAATCGATGAATGTGAACTTCATTTCATTTTGTCATTTGTTTCTTCGTCAGTTTCATTAGGTGACTTTAATAACACTTAAAAATCAAATATCCCGTACTTTTTTTGAATAGTATATGTATTAATATTCCCGATGCAGTGGTAACGAACATTGTCATATGCTACATTTAATTAACAATTATTGTAAATTGTTTCCATTGGTCTACCAAGTTCGTTTAATGACTATTCAAAATGGTCTCTAGTTTTTATTTCGTATCTATTAAACCTACATCTAGTTAAACACCACTCAACAGTTTTACGTTTTCAGAAATGTGTGTATTATTTTAATCCGAACCGCATTTGCCAAGAGATTACGAGTTGAAACCTAGGGGAAGACAACTCACCCGAAAAAAAAACCCTTCTTCTAGAGTATCAATGATTAATAAACTAATAATTTGTGTAGAAATTGCTTCAAGAATACGTGATGCATTATGATTTTGAAATGTATATTTTGTAAGCCCATAATATAGTTAATGTTGTATGTCGAATAAAACAAATATTATAATTAATATGAATATCGTATACCTGTTGCTGATATTATTAACAGCTGTGGAATGCGTCAGAGTGTGTGAAAATTTAAATACAAAAGAATGGAAAGGTTTACACATAACGCAGCTTTTATTTCAAAATTACAATTAATACTGCTGCGTTATTTCAACAAAATAACTCAATTATGGTGTCTTTTGTTTCGAATTATTTAATGTGTCGTTTATCATTAATGCCGTAAAATTATCGAATACACAAAAATGGAAGATGATTCAGTACTGATATGGGTTCCTAGAGATGAGATATGAAGTTCGGGGCAAAAGCACTTTGATTAGTTAATTTATTTGGTGTCTTAATTAAATGAACAAAATTCTATAAAATAACACGTAACACCCATAAAACAATTTGGCGGACAATATCGAAATTTAAAGTACACCAAATCTCAAGAAAGAATTATGTCTATAATGAGTTACAAGACGTAGTCTAAACGTTAATGTCTTCCTATTTTAATGTTTAACGCTAAGAGTTCTTTTAACTGAAGCAAATACCACAGATACCACAAGCTATAAAATCAATGATGAAGACGGTTGCTACCTGGTCTTATATTCTGTTCTTATAACCTGTTTAATTCTTGTGTAAATACTGACCACTGTACTAAGTTAGAACTAGCACATTCATTACTTTCAATTAATTTCCTCACACAGATTGTTGAATTTCCTATTTCGTTTTATTTGACTCCAATTCGTCAAGGTTAATCAACGTCTGACCTTTGTGAATTACGTAGATAAAACAAGATCTTCAGTAATAACTTCTACTATCTTGTCTAAAATTATTTTTGCTAAACAAGTTGGCTTAATAAATAACTCGTTAGTATTGATACCATTAAGAAATCATTCGCCAAGACTTTTATATAGAAATATCCAAACTGAGATATAGATCATGGTCCATTAAATATTACTCATTTAGTCCGTGTCCCAAGAATCTAGCCATTCAATGCTCTCATAACTCAACTGTACCCAGATTCTTGGAGATTTAAGAATTATTTAGAATATGATGGTATCAATGTCTATATTACGACCCTATATTTACACATAATTAGGATTGTATATCTTTGCGTATTCAATGAATGTCCTGTTGATACCCGTGCCCTAGTGTTGTCTACCAATGCATAATAGTGATATGTCAGCGTCTAGAATTATGTCCATACATTTATGCATACCTATGATTGTAATGTATATATGTGTGTATTCAATGGATGCCGTATTAATGTATGTGTTCTAAGAGTTGTCTACCAATGCATGATCGTAATATTTAAGCGTCTATATTTGCATGACCACCTATTTGGTTAGGAAAATTAAATTTAGGTAGGTGGTCATGCGATTCGTATAAGCCAAGATGTATTACAGAGGGACAAAGATTACAATAAATGTTGTTTAAACTCAGGATATTGTGAAGTATTTTCCATAAAATTTGTGAATAAGAGCAATAAATAAATAGATGATCAACAGTTTCGATGCTTGACCTACACACATTGGTACGTTTCTGTATTTTGTCATCCTCTAAA